AAAAATCTTCCAATGAGTTATTGCTATATATTAACTGTAGAAACCATTAATGGCAATATTTACATTTAATTGTTTAAAATTATTCTGAAAAAGCTATGAGAAATAGAAGTTTCACAAGCATTTAAGTTTAGGTATGAAAGGCTATTTTTTAATATACGCATCTTGATGCACAATATATGGGAATTTGGTTTTTTACTCATAATAATATGAATTACTATTGGACCCTTGACTTGTAAGTTGCATCTGGACCAGAAACGGTAAATTAACTATAAATATCTGCTGAGGAGCCATAACTTTGAGCCTCTGAGTGCAGCGACTCTTGACATAGGCACATTCCTTGTAAATAATATGTGTAAAGTATTTCAACTAAATGGTCTCAATAACATCTTTCTATACATCCCTCTCCCATGCTCCACATACATACACAAACCACAGTGACTTTTTATTATTTAAAGGTATTGGCTGCTGAGGGGCACGGAGACTATAATCCATAACGACCAATGTGGATCTGTCTTCCTGCACCTGAGCTGTCACTTGGGGGCCAAAGAGAACAACTCTTAGACGGATACATGTGCTGTTGCGAGAATTACTCTCCCAGAAGAGAAATACGTGACATTGCCCTGCTGGCAAGATGTTTTCCTGTTCTAAATCCTTCTAAGTAAATCTTATGTAAAATATCTGGTGAGTCTGAGTGCTCGGTTGAACTTAAAAGAACATTTTGTGAACACTGCAAGAGCCAATCTCAAAATTTTTAATTTTTCTTCCGGTACAAAATAACTACAGTTTGTGTTAACTGAATAGCAATTACAAAGTATATGATGGCATTTTCCCACAAAACTGAAAAAGCAACTTCTTTAAAACTATTCAATGTTTTCAAAGTTTCCATTTTTCCAATATTCTGGTTCCACATTAACCATTAATGCAAATGTGAATGCTCCTAACTGAGCTTCAACAATAACACAGTCCCGTGTCACTTAAAGGGGATACATTCTGAGTCATTAGGCAATCTGTCATTGTGTGAACATCTCAGAGGGCACGTACACAAACCTTAGATGGTACACTGCCCACTGCACACCCAGGCTGTATGGTTTAGCCTGCTGCTCTAGGCTGCAAACCTGTACAGCACACTACTGTACTGAATACTGTAGGCAGTTGTGCACAATGGTAAGTATTTGCGTATGTGAACATAGAAAAGGCACAGTAAAAGAGGAAAAACGGTGCAGCCCTACAGGGCGCTTACCATGAATGGAGCTTGTGGGACCGTAAGCTGCTCTGGGTGCAGCAGCGAGTAAGCAGTGAGTGAATGTGGAGGCCTAGGACATGACTGTACACTTCGGCTACACTACACTTATTTTAAAATATTTTTCTTTCTTTAATAATAAATTAACTCAGGTTACTGTAACTTTTTTTCTTTATAAGCCTTTAAATTTTCAACTCTTTTGTAATAACACTTAGCTTACAACACAAATACTTTGTATGGCCATAAAAAGTATTTTTTGTTTTTGTTGTTGTTGTTGTTAAAAATTAAGACACAGCCCTGGCCAGGTGGCTCAGCTGATTGGAGCACTGTCTTGTACACTAAGTAATTATGGGTTTGATTCCTGATCAGGACACATACCTAGTCTGTGGGTTCAAGCCCTGGTCAGGGTGCATGCGTGAGGCAACCAATTGATGTTTCTCACGTTATCTCTACCCCCACCTCGCCCCCTTCATCTCTCTCTACAATCAATGAACATATCCTTGGATGAGCATAAAAATAAAAAAACTAATACACAAACACACACATTAGCCTAAGCCTACACAGGGTCAGAATCATTAATATCACTGTCTTCCACCTCCACAACTTGTCCCACTGGAAGGTCTTCGGGACAATAGCAAGTGTAGAGCCATCCTCTCCTGAGATCACAAAGCCTTCTTCTGGAACACCTCCTGCAGGACCTGCCTGAGGCTCTTCCTGAGAAGGTGTCATTCTTTTGAGAAATATGTGGGGGGAGGGAGTTTGCTTAGTTTGCCTCATTTTTTCATCGTACACTTGCTTGTAAGCAGATTATTCTCTATTAATGAAAACCTTCCAGTTTTCAAACTTTTTTAAGGAGTTTGCTGAGGGCTGCAAAAACTTCTGCTAAACTCACTGTGAATTTTATTTGGGGTTCGTCTTTTTCTTCGCTTACAGTTTCCTTTTCTCTTGCTCCTTCTCCAGCTACGCATTCCTTGTTCCAGTTCCAACACTTCCTCCTTAGCCAATTCCTCAGGAGCCACCTCCAGAAGCTCCTCAATGTCATCCTCACCCACACCCAGGTTAAAGTTATTTGCCATCCCAACCACAGCCTTGTTGATTTTCGCAACTTCCCCATCCTTGGCAAATCTTTTGAAGTCATGTATGAACCTCTTGAGTGTCTTCTACCAGATGTCATTCTAACACCTTTTGGTGACATCACCCATAGCCCAAGCAAGGTTCTTGATGCAGTCATGGATGTTGTCATCCTTCCAGAACTGCATCGGTGTCTTCTCAGTGTCTTTCTCAGTTGCAGCAACAGCCTGGGCAAAGGTCCTCCTCAGGCAGCAGGTCTTAAAAGCTGGTATGATTCCTTGATCCACTGGTTGGATCAAAGGGGTGATGTTTGGAGGGAGAAGTACCATTTTGACACTGGCATGAAGACCACCAATAAAAGGAGGGTGTCCAGGAGAATTACCAACAATAAGAAAAATCTTGAAAGGTATTTAATTCCCCAAACATTACTTCACAACTTCGCTGCCAAGCAACTCAAGAGAGCATCTTGGAGGAGCAGCTGCGTCATCCACGGCCTCTCCCTGGGCCCGTAGATCACTGGGAGGTTGGGGGGCAGTTACCCCTATGTGTCAAGGCCCCGGGGCCCTCACTGTGCCAGAGCGCAGGGGTCTCCATCTGCAGCCTGCAGCATGCTCCCCAAGCCAGACTGCCACCCCGTCCTTAGAAGCCTTGAAACCTGGCGTTGACTTGGCCTCCTTGCGGATGGAAGCCCTTTCAAGTGTCCCTCTGCCAAAGAGGACGGTTTCGTCCACACTGAATATTTGCTCTGGTAAATAATTTTCCTACACAGTCCCTAGAATTTCCAAAAATTCCTCACCTGCCTTCACATCAGCACTTGCAGACTCACCACTCATTTGCACAGTATGGGAGGAATAACAGTTTTTTTTTTCAATTCTCAAACTCTGTTTTACTTTTTTACTTTAAATAATTTTTTATTTTTCAGTTACAGTTGACATATTATATTAGTTTCAGGTGCATAACCCAGTGGTTAGATGTTATACAACTCATAAGTGATCACCCTGAAGAATCTAGTACCCGACACCACACATACTTTGAAAACGATTTTTGAATCGTTTAAACCTCCCAGACCCAGCATGAAACTCGACATTGTAGTTGGGTCCAGGCTTGTCTTTCAACATTGCAAACAAACTTTTTGCTTTGGCTGCGGTCCCCACGGTACTGAAAGGAACACACATCTGTGTCTGGTCACCGGAAGATTCTCCAAGTCTAATGGGGGTCCTCCGTCACTCTCTGTTAGTCTTGTTGCTTTCAGTAAAGCAGATCCTTTAACCGCTTCTGCCACTTGGTTTTCATCCTTCTCATTCATAACTATGGTGAAGGGGACACGCCCGACTAGCAGGCAAAAACCATCACTGACTTCCCACCTTCTTAGTTCTTAATCAATTCTGATTTCGTTTCCAGGCCAGTCACTTGACATGGCCTCTTACTGGCAACATCAGCAGTGGGTTTTGTATGTTTAGGAACCATCATGGACCAAGTAACATAAAATTAAATCCAGTACAAGAGAAAATGATACAATTAAGAGACTCAGGAAGCATGAGATATAGGAGGCTGTTGCCAGAGCAGTACGGCATATGTTCTACAGCAAACTATTTTTTTATAAGTAGAAAGAGTACACTAACAATAAAAAGTGTAGTGCAATAAATACATAAACCAGTAACATTTGCAGTTATTGTCATTGTCAAGTATTAGGTACTGTCCATGGCGTATGTGCCATACTTTTATACGACTGGCAGGTCCGCGGTGTCACTTACACTGGCATCAGCGCAAACGCGTGAGCAGCGCGTTGTGCTAAATGTTACGGCAGCTACGTTGCTAGGCCACACAGAGTTTTTGGCTCCATTATAATCTTATGGGACCATTGTTGTTGGCCAAAATGTCTTTATGTGATGCGTAACATTCAAGCGCCTAATTTGGATGGATAAGGCATACTGATCAGATGCTATACATGTCATTGAAGAATTCTATATATAGTTTATAAATGTTCAATAAAATGATATAATAAGCAGAACTGAATAAATCTGGGAACCTATGACACTTTATAGAAAGTGTGTTTCTATACATTTACCAGGACTTTCAATTCCTAAACATAATCTGAGACCTTGCCTTTTATACTAACAATCTAAAAAACTTACACACCTATCTCTTTTCTCTCATTTTTGATAAATTTTGTGAATTTAGTATCAAGAAATGAATTTTGTCTTTCTTTATAAATGCAAAGTGGCCCTATTTAATATCTCCACTGTCTTAAACACATCATCATTAGCGATTCTGCACCATTGGACATAAGGCCTAATACAAGTTTGAAGTATAATATTTCACAGTCCGACAATAAGGGACCTCTAGATGATTGGCATCAAATGACTGAAGAAATTCTTTTCTATTTTGGAAAAAATAAAATAACCTATCAGGCAAGCCATTTTCTTGAAATCTTTAATTTCCAAAGGATATCTCACCAGAAATACTAAATAAAAATTATAAAGGGCTCCAATTAAGAATTTTTATATTCCTCTTTTCCAATTAAAGTTATACTTTAAATTATTTCTACTGTTGACACTCACACTACGATGCCACTTCTTTAGTAAAATGCATTTTTTAGGAAAATCACCTGCCATTGTCCCATAAAACTTCTTGAGAATTCCTTGGCTAAGATTCTCTTTTTTAAAAAATTTTTAATTGAGTCACTTACTGCAAAGAGCCCACTCGTACTGCCACGGGAATGTGGGGAAGCTGGGTGGCCCACTTCAGGGTCACGTCCTGATAAATATGCAACATGCTGTGATGGTTTCCAATCAAAGTATTTATTGTCCCTTCAGAAACTGCAAATTGAAGACAGAAAAAAAGGATAATAAGAAAATTGTCATTTGCAACAGATTATATCCCTTATAGGGGATTTATGATACAAACTAATTCTAATATCATGATGTTACAGTATAAAGATTTTAAGTAACAAGACATGATTTTCCAACTTCAAACTACTAATATCTAAAAGAAAAAAATTATAGACTTGGAAACTCTAATCAAAGAGTGGCCAACATTTTTGCATTTCATCTAGAAAGCATGAGTTTCATTAATATCTAACAATTTAAGCTAATGATTTACTGGGCATTCACTACAGGAAAGTCATTCTATTAGGCATGACTATGCTCCGTTCTGCCTATAAAAGAGTCTGATGTTCTCTTGGAAGCATCCTGAACAGGCACATTTTGGAAAGCATTAATGTATGCCTGAGGCCAATTCCACAAATCATTTTGTACAAAGTAAAATGACTGACAAACCCAAATGTGTGCTTTATATCAAACTTCTATTCAAACTTTAAAAGTTAAAATTTCCATTACATGTTCAGTATAAAACTATTTTCCTAGATGTTTAAAATATACGTGTGTGAGTTTGCCTTTTTCTGATGTATAAAACATAGCTGTGACATATGGAAAAGATAAAAGAAAATCTTTCTACACACCTGAGCAGTATGGGAGAAAACAACTTGGACTACAATCAAGTTTCTTCATGAATTGAATCTGCCCATTATCCTTCAGGCAAAAAAAGTTTCTTTCACCAAGGACAAAAACAGAAGATGCCGACTGATTGAAAGACACAATACATATATCAAGGGCTTGCTCTCCAATATTTAAAGTCCAGTCTACCTGCAAAGGGAAACCTAAGATCAATTAAGTTGCTAAAAACCAGAACACTGTGGTTACTTTCATATCAGTACAATTAAGAAATTTCTTTACAACAAGCAGACGTAAATATTGGCTCATCCTCATTTACTTTTCTTTTGCTATGAACAAATTTCTGTTATTTTTATAGACTCTAGTAGTTTTTGCCCCATCTTTTACCAGATGATATTAGCTATTCTGTTGTTCAAAAATAGGCAAATAAATTTAACCAAAGAGGAGAAAGATATGTACATTGAAAAATATAAAACACTGATGAAAGGAATTAAAGAACATGAATAAATGGAAAGATATACTGTGTTCATGGATTAAACAAATTATTATTAAAATGTCCATACTACACAAAAGTGATCTACAGATTCAAATCCCTACCAAAATTCCAAATGGCATTTTTCATAGAAACAGAAAAAAAAATTCTAAAATTCAGATGGAACCAGAAAAGACTCCAAATAGCCAAAGCAATCTTGAGCAAAAAGAACAAAGCTGAAGGCATCACACTACCTGGTTTCAAAATATATTACTAAGCTTTGCCAACCAAAGCAGCCCAGTACTGGCATAAAAAACTGACATCCAGACCAACAGAACAGAACAGAGAGCCCAGACATAAATCCATGAAATACAGTCAAGTGATTTTCCACAAAGGTATCAAGAATATACCATGGGAAAAGGACAGTCAGTTTCCATAAATGGTTCTGGGAAAGCTCGATATTCCTATGCAGAGGAATAAAACTGAATCCCTACCTCACATCATACACAAAAGTCAAATCAAAACAGACTTAAGACTTAAACACGGGAACAGAAACTGTAAAACTATTAAAAGAAAACATAAAGGAAAGCTTCCTGACGTTGGTCTGGGTGGTGATTTTTTGGAAATGTCCCCCAAAACACAGGTGAAAAACAGGGATTATATCAAACTAAAAAGCTCCTGCATGGCCAAAGAAACAATCAACAGGGTGAAGACACACTGTGGAAAGCAGGAATATATTTCCAAACCACAGATCCAATAAGGAGTTAGTGACTAAAAATACAGAAGGAATTCAGATAAATCAGCAGCAAGAAAACATAAACCTGATTTAAAAAAGGATTCAACATCGATGTATCATTTGATTACCACTTAGATCAAGTGTTGCTTATCTACATGAAAAGATCCTACTGACCCAAGACATGAATGCCAGTCACGTTGCAGCTACATTCTCATCCAGTTTTAATAGGCTGGCCCTCTAGCATTGTACATGTGTCTGGAACTCGGCGGTGTGTCCCTGGCTCTGAGAGAGGAAGGCTCGCTCAGAGTGGACAGGCAAACCTGGTTTCTGAGGCTGCAGCCTGAGATACCGCCATCACACACTTTCAGTCCACTACTGACTGAGTGCCACTCTCTGTCACCTCTGCTGAGCAAAACACACCACAGTCTAGTTAGTCTCAAAGAACACAGAGATTTACTAAGGACAATCATATAAGAATTATCCCACTTCCCGATAAGAGGGAGTAACAAGAAGAGAATCCTACCTGAAACAACCACAAAATGGACAAACCATATGAAACAGTTTGCAAAGCACTGGGTATTATACAACAAAGGACGGCAATCCCATGATGAAAGAAGACAAATCAGGTGAGTCACCTGATTGCTCCAGGCACGGGAGAGCGTTCAGGACATGGCGCCTAGAGGACAAGCCTGGCAGAGCCCAGCCAACTGCCAGAGCTGAGGAGGTGAGTGCTGAGAGTTCAGAGAAACCAAGGCCGCTAGCGTAGGCTCGACAGCATGCCACAGCGGGGAGAGGACCCTCTCCAACATTCAGCACAGTGCTGATCAGCTCATTCATGGAAGGAAACTACCCGAGGCCGGGGAATAATCACCAAGAAGGATTACAGCATCTAGAATAGTGCCTGTGCCCACAGCCAGACCAGACCACCTCAGAATTCAACAGGAGCTGGTTAGAGCACCCAGAAGGCTCTTGCCTCAGGAGTGGGGAAAAGGTAGCCCCCAAACGACTACTGCTCAGGTCCCACCTAACGAGACTTAAAAACAAGACTGAAAAAGATCAAAGCACTTCCAAACAAGTGAACTAAGTTTCCCAGGCCTAAGCTCAAGAACAATTATAGGAATACAAAAAATATAGTGCCCAAAGTAAAAACAAAGTAAAATTGACTGTATCTGGCACCTAATAAAAAAAATACCAGGAATGTAAAGAAACAGGAGGATGTGGCCCACAATGAAGAGAGAAATAAATCATGTAAAATTGACTCAAAATTGATACAGATGTTAGAATTAGAAAACAAGGACATTAAAACAATTATTATAACTGTATTCTGTATTTTCAAAAAGTTAAGTGGCGACATAGAAGATGTATATAAAAAAACACCCAACTGGAACTTATAGAGATGAAAACCATAGCAGATGGAAATGAATACCAGATTAGACATGGTAGAAAAAATATTAGTGACCTTTAAAACATAGCAGTAGCAATAACCTAAAATGAAAGAGAGAAAGAAGAACTTTTATAAAATTAGAATAAAATCTGTGAACTGTGACAACCTTGAATAGACTAAATGTATGTGTAATTAGTCCCCAAAGGAGAGGGGAAAAAGACAGAAAAAATAGCTGAAGAATAGCTAAAAGTTTTCTAAGTTTCATAAAAACTATAAATTCACAGATATAAGAAGCTCAACAAATCCTAAACCCCTCAAAAAGAAAGAAAACTACACAGAAAAACATTAAAATCTACATTAAAATCTAATTGGTCAAATAAGCAATAAAAGAATATGAAAAACAGCCAGAGAAAAAAGATATGTGCAAAAATAAATAAATAAATAACAGCAGAGTTCTCATGAAAAACAAGGCAGGCAAGAAGACAGTAGAACAACCTCTTAAAGTACTGGATGGGAAAAAAATCTGTCAAGATTTTTAGGAATAACTATCCTTTTTTTATATAAATAAAGGATATTTATTAAATGCAAAGGCAAAAATACTTTATCAGAACGTGTAAAAACTGAAATAATTCATCACCAGTGGACTCACACCAAAATATACGTGAAAGGAAGTGCTTTAGAATGAAGGAAAACAACATCACCTGGAAATATGGAGCCACACAAATTCATGAAGAGCACCAGAAATGGTAACAATGTGGGTAAATACATGATATTTTTCTTATAATTTATATTTCATTAAAACATATTGACTACTTAAACAAAAATAATAACAATGTAACATGGACTTTGCAGTGTATGTAAAATGAAAATATGTGCCAATAGCACAATGGCTGGAAGGTGAGCAACGGAAATACAGCTCTTACCCTGTACGTGAAGTAGCATAGTATCACCTGAAAGTAGATGTTGATAAGGTAAAAACATATACTAAAAACACTAAAACAACCACTAAAATAAACAAAACAAAGAGCTGTGGCTAATAAGCCAACAAAGATAAAATAAGATAATAAAAAATAATGAATAACTCCAAAGGACAGCAAAAATCATGGGGAAAGGGCCCAAAGAACAGGTGGGACAAATAGAAATCAAAGGAACAGATGACAGACTTAAATCCACCCCACATTAACTGCCGTCCCGTAACTCCTTTATGAGAAGTACTCCTCTGGATAAATTCCGTTCCTCTGCACCACACTAACCAACGTTCCACGGCTTCAGGCGCCTGCCAAGTGACTGTGGTGTAAGGAAAGGAACGTTGACCGCTACGCCCTGCTCTATCCATTAACTGAGAATAGAAAAATCACTCAACTATAGTCTCAGGATACATCCTTAGTGTAAGTCACAGGCTACCGTCAAGAAATATCTGCAAATGAATGAGCGACAGATATTTCAAAGTGAAAAAAAATAACTATATGCACAAACCTAGGATCCAGGAGAGCTGAAGTCTCACGTGGCTGGATTACAGAACAGGAGGGACAATGGAAATGACTACTATTGAGGAGGAGGCAGAGGCCATCTTGATCGCCTTTATTATTATCATTATCATCCAGACATTTTGCTAAGAGCTTCATAGATATTTTGTTTTCTTCCCAGGAATTCTTATTCTGAACAAACACCTGTGATTATGATAGCTTTGCTGAGTAAGTCCTAGCCACAGCAATCAGACAAGAGTCCAAACTAAAAAGGAATAAGTAAAACTGTCGTCATCTGCAGGTGACATGATACTATAGAGGAGAGAACCCTAAAAATTCCACCAAAAAAACTGCTAGAACTGATAAATGAATTCAGTAAAGTAGGAGGATATAAAATTAATATTCAGAAATTGGTTGCATTTTTTTACACACCAATAATGAACTGCCAGGAAGAGAAATTAAGAAAACAATCCTATTTGCGATTGCATAAAAAAATAAATACCTAGGAATAAATTTCACCAAAGATGTAAAAGAACTGTACTTGAAAAATTATAAGACAATGAAGGAAGAAATTGAAGGGGATACAAATAAATGGAAGCACTTACTGTGCCTATGGATAATAATTAGCATCACTAAAGTGTCCATACTACCCAAAGCAATCTATAAATTCAATGCAATTCCTATCAAGGTACCAATGGTATATTACATAGAACTAGAACAAAAATCCAAAAATGTATATGGAACCATAAAATACCCCAAATAGCCATAAAAATCCTGAGAAAGAAGAATAAAGTTGGAGATATCATGCTACTATCTGATATCAAACTATACTATAAGGCTACTGTAACCAAAAAAGCATAGTACTGGCATTAAAACAGACACATAGATCAATAGAACAAAACAGAAAGCCCAGAAATAAACCCACACATTTATGGTTAATTAATATATGAAAAAGGAGGCAAGGACATACAAAAGGGTAAAGCTGGTCAATTCAACACATGATGTTTGGAAAACTAGAAATGGAACTAGATCACCTTCCTACACCATATGTAAAAATAAACTCAAAATGAATTAAAGACCTACATGTAAGACCAAAATCCATAAAACTCCTAGAAGAAAATATAAACAGTAAACACTCTGACATTGCTCTTAGAAATATTTTTTCTGACATATCTCCTCAGGCAAGGGAAACTAAAGAAAAAAAAATGGGACTACATCAAACTAAAATGTTTTTACACATCAGAGGAAACCATCAACAAAATGAAAAGACAGCCTACTAAATTTGAGAAGATATTCACCAATAATACATCCAATAAGGAGTTAAAATCCAAAATTTGTAAAGAATTCATACAGCTGAACACCAAAAAACAAAGAATCTACTTAAACAATGGGCAGAGAACCTGAATAGACATTTCCCCAAGAAGACATACAGATGGCCAACAGATATAGGAAAAGATGCTCTCATCACTAATCATCATGGAAATGCAAATTAAAACCACAATGAGACACCATTTCACACCTGTCAGAATGGCTATCACCAATAAATCAACAAAAAAAGAATGCTGGCAAGGATGTGAAGAAAAGGGAACCCTAGTGCACTGTTGGTAGGATTGCAAATTGATGCACAACAACAGTATGTAGGTTCCTTTAAAAAATTAAAATAAACTACCTTATGGCCCAGCAATTACACTTCTGGGTATTTGTCTGAAAAAATCCAAAACACTAATGTGAAAAGATATACGCACCCCTATGTTCGTTACAGAATTATTTACAATAGGCAAGATATGGAAGCAACCTAAGTGCCCATTGATAGATGACTGGATAAAGAAGATGTGGTACAGATATGCAATGGAACATTACTCAGCCAAAGTAAGAATGAAATCTTACCGTTTGTGATAACATGGGTGGACCTAGGCGGTATTGTACCAAGTGAAATAAGTCAGACAGAAAAAGACAAATATCATATGATTTCACTTATGCGTGCGGTCTAAAGAACAGAATAAACAAACAGGCTCATAGATACTGATTGCTGCCAGATGGGAGGAGAGTTGGGGGACTGGGTGGAAGGGATTAGGAACTACAAATTGGCAGTTACAGAATCGTCATGGGGATGTAAAGTATAGGATGGGAAATACAGTCAGTAATATTGTAGTAACTATGTATGGGGCCAGGTGGGTACTGGACTTATTGGGGGGATCACTTTGTAAATTATATAAACGTCTAACCACTATGCTGTACTCCTGGAACTAATATATTCCTGAATATCAACAGTAATTGAAAGTTAGAAAAAAATTAATTTATAAAATAGAAAATAAATCAATAATAAAATAAATGTAACATTACTGAAATTTCTACATATTAAAAAAATGGCCTTACGACAAGTCTTTTTCCAGAACCAAGTTTCTGCTGTTCGGTCTCCTGTCTTTTATCTGCATCTGTTGCAAAAGCAAGTACTTGGTACCTGCATAAAAGATAAGGAATAATTAAAAATGACTTTACAGTTAAAAAGTGTAAATTATTTTAAACTTTAAAAGCATATAATCTCAATAAAGCTGATCAAGAAAATAAAGCACTTAATCTGTAAACCTTGAACTACTTTTACCTTGGTTTTAAAAAGTGTGAAATTTAAGATTGAATTCTTATGGAATGATACTCTGCTAGAAGACTATGTAAAACTGTCATGATCAAGAAATTATAACCATATGTCCCAAAATTCAATACTGAGGAAACAGGAATGCCAAATATCAAAGCATTTCCATTGAAATTTTATGTGACAAATAGCAACGTTCAAGGAAAATCTAGTACCAAAAAGGAAAAAATGTAAATAATGCAAAGCAGTCAGATGCAGCAGTAATTATTAATCCATAATCTACAGAGCCCAGGCCTGAGTGTAAACCCCAGCTAGGTCAGTTACTAGTTTAGAAAACTCTGGAAAACGAAACGCTCTGTGTCCCCTCTTCCCCATGTACAAAGTGGGAATAATAATCTCTAACTCAAGCACTGTTAAAAGAATTTTAAAATAATGTAGTGTCTAGTATATATTAGGTGCTCAAATATTCATTGATAGATTAAAAGACAAATAAAGGTTTATATAAGGAGAGAGATCAATAACCTAGTAGTTTATCTGGTATGTAATAAATTCTCAATAATGGGTGTTATTACTTCCCGTAAGTATTTTACAGTTTTAATACTAACATTTAGCTCAAATCATTCTTTAAAATAATTTAGAAATATCATTCACTCTAGAAATGATTGATTTAGACATAAAGTTTAAATTTGCATTTCCCATTAATTAATGGTATATTAGAGTAAGAATCCTACTGTAAATGAAGAAGCTTCAGGCTCATAGATTCCTTTCCCTCCAACTGAATCACAATTCTTTGCATTGTTCTTCCACAGCGAAGAGGAAAATCAGTAAAAGCTACATTCACACACCTCATGTTGTCTAAGAAAAAGATGTCTCATCAGGTAAACCCCTGGGATCTGCACGAAGACGACGTGGGATCTCTAAATAAGCACTGAAGTACGCACTAGCGTTCAAATATCACACACCAGCTCTTAAACCATCCCATCTCAATCAGGAATACTTCATGTGTAAAAAGCCTCCAATTCCAGTTGGAGGCACAATGACTATGCGTTAAGATAGATTTTTGCAAGACATTCATAAAAATCAGTCTTATAGTTAACGTGGAAGCTTAATGTATACGAATTTCATTTATTCAATAAACATACAGCAGGGGTCTAATACACTGACATGGTCTCCATCGACCAGACCCTCCCAAAGTAGTAGAGGTTCATATACAAATAAGTGTAACTTAGAATTCACTGTGCTGACAGAAGGCATCCAAACAGTAGCAAGGGAACATGGTGGCAGAAACAGAAAGTGAAGTGGAAGAATGTATGTGTTCTTGGTTCAGGTTCGAGGAGAAAGCCACATTTTAAAGAATGAGTGAAAACTCATCATGCTGTTAAAGAGGTAGAGGTGTTACAGCAAAGCAAACAGCACATGCAAAGGCATGCAGCAGTAAAAGACATGAAAGGCTGTGACAGGAGTTTAGGAGAGACACATGGCAGGGAGGACTGAGTCATGGGAAATGAGACAAATAGGTAGGAGGGTGAGGAGCGCAGCCTTGTAAAGCCAGGCTAAAAAAAACCCCAGAGGCAGCTGCAGCAAATGTCTCCCTACCGACTGAGACTGCCTTTCAAAATGCCTATGTCTCCAAAAGTGCCAAATAATTAGGCCTCACATTCCAGCCTCCACGTAGGATTGTTTTACTCTTCCCAGGTCATGGTAAGAGACACAGGATGCACCAGTGACTAGAACATGAGCCCAGGGCTGGTCCGCTGCAGGTCTAACCTTAGGCAATTAATTACCTAGGTGGTTAATTTCCTGCAGACACCAACCTCCCAAAGGATGTTACAGATATTAATGAGAACATTGCAAAAATCCAAAGCTTCTGAGCTGTTTGAAGCTTCTTATATAACTACAAAGAGTTCTCATTTCATCTGAGGAAGAAGTGAGCCCCTAAAGCGGCCTCATTAACATCAAAACAGCAAGCAGAGGCACGGCCAAAACTGACTCCTGGTTTCCAAATCCAGAGCATTTCTCTTCCTGGAAGATGAACCAGAGGAGTATTTTATTACTAAACATAGCTGACAGTAAATGTAGATGATGACAATCTTACAACAGCATCTATTTTATGGTTCTTCCTTAAATCCTCTTAACTGTGACCAACAATGTACATGGTAATCTATTTCCAAAACCAAAGAATTCCAAGCACACTTAGAAGTTCTGAAATAAAGAAAACTCTTGGATTTTTTTCTTACCATGCAAGTGTTCAGCGATATAAGCTAAAGAACAAGATTCCCTTGCCGAGACTGCGGAAGAACAGTCTGGCCCAATGTAATAAGATTTTGTGAAAGAGCATCATACATGTTTCTCAGAGCAGAGAGGCAGGAATCACAAATACAGCAGGTCCAGGAGAATAGCGGTGCTTTTTGGCTCAATAACCACAAATGCTCAATGGGTCCCGTGAAGCACCGATGACAAACCCAACCATATAATTTAGTGTTCTTCTGTATCACATCGTAAAAACAGCAGCAAGGAACTAAAATATGGACTGAGGTGTCAAAGAGTACAAAAGCAAACCCTCCAAAATCATTTATTTTCTAATGAAACATAGCTGGCACCTCAAAGGATAACAAGATATTTTGGAGCCTTGATATTTAAAGTTGGAGAACTCTACTAGAAGTGGAAGATCTGGACACAGAGCCTCACATTATTCCTTCTCCACTAGAGCTAAAACATTCTTGAGTATGCCAGAGAGAACCATTTACATTGAGAGAAGCCAGTAAAAAAAAGAGAAGCATTCCTTACAAACCTTGCACTCTTTCGTCAAGACCTTCTTGAACACCTGTTTTCAGCGAGGTGCAATGCTGGGCACTTTAGGGGACAAAACGCCTGCCATCGAGGATCATTTAACTCAGTCAAGAAGAAAAAGGAGCAAATATGTAGTATCAATGAAAGCAAGAGGAGAACATGGGGGAAGTGTAAAAATCTGCTCTGAATTGAGGAGATATTGCTTAGACCGAGGTCATAGAGGAACTGAGAGGGAGCAGGGAGGCTTCCAGACCTGAGTTTCATATGCAGAGAAGAAAAGAAGAGCATTTCAGACAGAGCACAGCATGCACAAGAGAGGAGAGAGAGAAAAACCCTGGACATAGATGGAAACCCTAAATATTTCAATTTGACAAAAGGCTAAGACTAGTGAAGACCACATCCTTTTTTAAATATTGTCGATTAAATTCAACAAATGTATTTTTTAAAATACAAATTTAAAGCCTATTATCTACTACAAGGTACTGGGAGCCACTGCAGGGGTACAGGGAAAGTATAGGACACAGAGGAGAAAAATAAAACTCATGGCAAAGACATATACTTCTTCAGGGAGCCTCCCTACATTCAACTCTTACTCAAAGGTGTCCCCTGTAGGCCTCCTCAGCATCCTGACCACAGTTCTGCTATAGCCCGTATCACAATGAAGTGAAACTGCCAATTGATCTGCTACCTCCCCTACTTGCTTACATACTGCTTAGGGACAAGAGACAGGTCTTTTTTAACTTTGCATTTCCTGTACTTTGTAGTGTGTGGCACATAGAAGCCTCTTGAAAAATGTTTCCTGAATGAATGATTGAACAAACCAACCAAATTATTCCATCAGTGAGCAGATATTTAAGACAGATTCTGCTCTCTGAAACCAGATAATGCAAGACACCCTCTAGAACATTTCAGCACAATACAAGATGGCAATATATGACATTGCACAAAATCACTGTTTTAGGCAAGAAATATATCTAGGAGGTGAAAAAAGGGGGTAGTTGAACCAGTTACCTTTAAAAGTCTATTCCAAATCTGAAAATCAACATAACAGAGATAAAATGGGACTAGATTATACAGAGCACTAAATATCAATATAAGAAAGTTTGGATTTTTTAATGGGAAACAAAAATTCAGGCTTAAAGAGGTGTTTTAAAAAGATAGCTATAGCCGTGGCTGATGTGGTGCAGCTGGCTGGAGCATAATCCCATAGCCAAAAGGTTGTGGGTTCAGGTCTCAGTCACGGCACATGACTGGGTTGCGGGTTTGATCCCCCATCCAGGAACATACAGGACGCAACCAATCGATATTTCTCTCTCACATCGATGTTTCTCTCTCTAAAAGCAATGAAAAAAACTGTCCTTGGGAGAGGATTAAAAAAATTAAGAGAGCTAGAAGAAGGACCCTAAAGAGGTAAGAAACCCAGAAATCCAGATGGAAAGATAAAGGCCTCAATGCCAAGAGAGGGGGAAAAAAAGGTAGAAAGGTCAGGAGTTACTGACTAAATAACTCTGACAAAGAAAGAAAAAGAGAATAAAAAATGATTCAGTTTTGATAAATATGGCCAAGAGAATAGTGGTACTTCAGCCACCCCCTCCAAAAAAGGCACACAATTCTCCCACTTCAAAATGAAAACAACTCTCAACATGTGTCCCTGAACTAGAATCCTACCTGGAGTACGTGTTTGCAATGACAATTTCTGGGACTTATCCCAAAATTACTAAATCAAAATCTAGAGTATTGGGGATAGGGAATCTGCAAACGAGCATTTGATAACAAGCTTCCCACGCTGAAGTCTGAGACCCATGGCCTTCCCTAGTTCCCATTTGAACATAACCAAGCTTGCTTTAAAGTAATTAAACATCAGTATCAAAAATGAAAATAAATTCTGTCTGAAAAGCCTTTTATACTAACTGATTACATTCTATTAACTGCTTATAAATATATTTAGTGAAGCTTCAAAAGAACCTACAGTTTTCAGGCTTTCTCCATCCTAAATTGCACCTGTGATTATCATTTAATTTTATCTATTAAACTTAAAAGCATATGTAAATACAACATACTATTTAATGTTATAAACCCTCTTGATTGTCATCATTTCACAGTAATCACATATCCCATGCATCTCTACCATTATAAAAGACCCACATAATGGATAAAGTGGTGAGGTCTTTAGTCCTAGATGGAGATGGATTGAATAGATCGCTATGCTGAGTCACCGCAGTTAAAGAGCGTGAGCTTCGGTGGGATTAAATTTGCGCATTAAGGGAACCTATGCATCGCTTCCTCATCCAATCGCTCCTGGAGTTATTACCAAGTTAATTCCTATGCACATATTTCAAAGAGTAGGTCATGGAGCGTGCAAATCTCTGTACTGTGACCCCGTCTAGCACTGCCAGTATCACTGCTTGGCAAGAGTTGAGACACAGCCCTGGGTGGAAAGCTGAAAAGCAGATCTCCTCAATATTACTTAGGTTTTGACGGGCTTGAATGCATTATACAGATACTTTTCTCAACCTCTCAAGATAACTATAATATTTCATTTATTACCAGTAGCAATGCCACAATTCATTCATCTCCTTTGGACAAGAGCCACAGGAGTTATAGCAGGAATGGGACATAATGATACACTGCCTCCACCAGTTAACTTCTTTGTCCCAAACACTGGCCTGTTTTCAGAGTTCTGGAGCCTGGGTGCCCTGACAGTAATTCACAAAAGCTCGGTTGCCACGTATGAAGGGAAAACCTTGCTAGAGACACAGTATTGAAACTTGAAGACACAAATGTAAAGCTGTTGCCTGATGAATTTATATTTTCTTCCTGCCCTGGGAAAAACATGCGGCCAAAAATAATACCGAAAAGCTGTAATGAAGTGTTGCTTAGACTTACAGTTCTAACTGTTGCCATCAGTGAGATAACAGCAAAAGAGTTACCGAAGATGCTCTAAGTCCCCAAGTCTGTTTCTCTTCCCAGCGTGGATTTCTTTCTTTTCCCCATTCTCCCTTCCAACATAAAACACATCCTCCAAAACCTCAAAATCTTAACTTTTATTGAAATGTAGCTGATAGAAGAGAAAAGGGTCTCTCTTTAAACACAAGTCACCAAAATCAGTAAGGATTTCTAGTAAAAAGCATAAACTGCTTTCACGGGGCCATTTTCATACTTAATTTCTATTATCATCGTTCTTTAATAAACATTTATAACACCTGTATGTCTTGCCAGCATTCTTCCTATGTATACATACATTTTTTTTGTTATAAAATAATATCATATATGCATCTTTACATCGGGCTCTTTTCACTGACACTGAGTTTTATTATTTATAATTCAGGGAACAGTCCCAATAATTATTCAACATTTTCTATAGGGTGGCAACCATGTCTTCCTTGTAAAAAACTTGTCAAATAGCCGTTATTATCCCTTTACAGCCAGGACAATGACACTGACCACCAAACAGCTGGGAGCAGCAGAATCATGATTCCAATCCAGGTCTGCCTCTCTGCTAACCGCTCCTCTCAGCCTCTGCACTGGACTGCCTTTCAAATAGTTTACCAAATGTAAACGACACCTCTACCTCACCACAAGTACATTTTATCAAAAAAAAAGAAAAAAGGCAGGGAGGGGATTCTTCTTCACTTGTGATATTGAAGCTTTTTGTGGAAAAGAACTAATCAGCGACAGACACATGCACCGAAAACCATGATTTCAAAGATAGGACATCCAAACTTACTTGTAACTTTCCACTTGTCGGCAGGAAGAGACGGTGATGAAGGAATCTGTTCGGGAACTGTAGGCAAGGGGGCCAGGCAAAAGAGAGCCAGGGAGAAACCTTCCAAAAGCATAGCTCTCCTGCTCAAACACCATCAGCATCCCGTCCATAGACTGGATACAAATTAAATCTCGACCTGAAGAAGAATGAGAGGAAATTAGGCAACCTATTCTTAAATATTTATCTCTATCCACCACAAATATGTCATAGTTTATTTTTTCCCCAAGAGGGAAAATGAGCAGTTCAAACTTTAAATTATAAACTGATGAAGCTCTCAGATTATTGTGTATCAGTCTACATGCATTTCCCAATTTTAAAGGATTCAGATATCTATATTTTTAAGTACATTTATTTTCATTTACTGTATGTTAAAATCTCTAGCTCAAAATAATCCCTAGCAACAATCATTACCCTTTGCAAGATATCATTCTCCCCAAAATCAGAAATACAACGGCTGCTCTGCACAGGGCTATTTCTTCATAATATGTCAGCCTCATACTTTGCAATGACTTAGGCACCCATCAAACACAGCACACCGAATCCATAGACATAGATTAGGCACCAGTTTCATACAAAGCACAGTGTTAAGCACTGTTGGGAGTGAAAAATATATATATAGTGAAAAATACTAATCACTGATTGTCCTAAACTGTAGATTGATGTTTGAAGTGTCTTCTACTATCAGTCTACAAGTATCAACTATGAAATTCACAGTTCTTAAAATATACTGAGAGGGTGATGATGATGATGATTTCTATGATACTGTAGTATCCCTAACCTGAGAACGATCTGGTGGCTGTAACTTTTCATGTTCTGCTGGTGAGATTATATAAGAAGGAACCATGTCAGAGAACAACTAAGCTACTAAGTAAATCAATAAAAGATCAATCTTCTATTTGTTACCTAATCCATCCTTACCATATACAGTAAGTCCTGTAGAACTATTCCATATTACCTTGGATATAAGTGCCAATACAGGACACTTAAATTTTGAAACTGAAAGAATACTTAGGTCAAATAAAATTAAATTGCATAGAAATGGATGATATTCTAATTATTGTGTCTGAGTATGGACACAGGAGCAATTTCTAAAAAGAAAACGCGTTGCCAAAGGATTTTTTTTAAAAAGAAAACTAAGATTTTGAGGTGCTTATGACTGCAACATACTCTACCCCATCTTGATTACTCAATAGTGCTATCATCTGAGAGATGCTCCAGGTTGAATCTTGTCTTAGCATAAGAACGTTCACTAAACACAGATCTGAACCGCTCTGGAATCTCCTTAGAGAGAAAAGGTTTGTGCACATTAAAGCTGTTTTGAAGAGTATTCTCTCAATGCTCATTCTTTTATGATGCACAGTAGACTTTGCATTCACTGTTTTGAGCTTTTTAGAATCTAATATTTTTCTACTATGCTTATTAGAAGTTTCCCCAAAAGCTATGAGTTTGCATGCATATTGTACAAATGTATTCACAGAGATCTATTCAGGCAATGAGTACTTTGTCTACAGAGAATTTAACTATTTAGCAACCCCATTTGTCTGCACCCAGCATACATGAAAAAGTATAAAAATGCCTCTAAATCATCATTGAAAAAGGTGCTGCAATGTATTTGTAATGAAAGCCATGGAAACTTCTTACACGTAGATTCCCAGGCCTCACTCAGGGCCTCAATTCCATGTTAATTCTGGTTCTAACAATGTAGTTCCCACAGACAGGTTACTGATATTCCAGGAGCTTCGGCCTCCTCATTTGTAAAATGACTACATTTGTATAAGAGTTCCAAAGTTAGAGGTAGGATGCCAAAGTCCCTCTCACTGGACGCACACATAAAACACACAATCACAGCATTATTATGATGGCTATTGTCACCTGCTTTCCCAGCCCAGAGAAAAGAAAACTACAAATTAGAAAAGTGTGAACACACTGACAGCTATCAGCAACAAGAGCTGCGCCCTAACCAAAAAAAGGACAGAACATCTGTAAAATAATTTTTTTAAAAATAACATTCTGGGCTCAGTGTAGGAGAAATTACAAGCCCTATATAGCTCAAAAGAGAAATGTCATATTGTAATGGATTTGGGGTAACTAAATGAATTTAACACTGTTTGGAAAGAAAAGATTTGGAATTTTAATATCATTTGCAAAAAAGAACCTGTCGCAGAGACACTAACTGCTGCCACAGGAGTCGGTCTTTTGGAACTTGAACTATCGCTAGACACGTGGCCATCCAGGACAAAACCTGCATCTCCAGGTCTCTAACATGGAAATGTCATATGACTACATTCCTACCGATGAGATGGGAGCAGAGGCCGTATGTACGACAGCCAAACGTGCCCGGAAAAGGGCTCAGTATGCACCCCCCGCCCCTCTGTCCAGCCTGAAGCAGCTGCCTTGGCCTCAGGAATGGAAGCCACATATTGAGGAAAACAGAGCTCTCGTAGCAGCCCGGGACCACTTTATCTCCAGATGATTACATATGACAGAAATGAACATCTTCCTTATCCAAGGCTCCATTAAGTTGGTTTTCTGTTAACGCAATCAAATCGATTATTTAAATAACATAGAATTTTCTGAGCCTAAAGGTCCATTCAGTATTGCTGAATCTTAGGATTTAGTTTCACCCAATAGGATTCTGATATCCAATACACACACACACACACACACACACACACACACACACACACAGAAGATATTGGGACAACTGTAGAAATTGAAGTATGACTACACATTAGAAAACATTAGGAATTGTTAATTTTCTTAAGCATGATGATAGGATTGTGATTATATAAGAGAACGTTCTTCCTAAGCAATGTATCCTGCTATATTTGTTAGTAAACTGGCACAGGTCTGTACCTTATTTTAAAATGGGTCATAAAAGCAAAATGTGTGTATACACATGTATATACATTTACAACTGTTAACTCTAGATGGTGTTCATGTTATTTTTACTGATATTTATATTTTTCATGCTAAAAATGTAGACCAATAAAGTGTTTACATATATGTTTTTTGTATACAAATGTACTGCTTGAACACTCAAGGGGGAACTGAGCATTAGTGAACTGAGCAAGACCTAGAAGGCGAGCAATAAATTTAGTTTTAATAAATCAAGAATCAGAGAGACAGAAGAAATTCAATCAATGAAACACTTATGCAATGACCTTGACCTTTGGCAAGGGAAGGACACCACTGAAACCAAATACACCCTCGATATCTGTATTATTAAAGACTGTGAGGTAAGAGCATGTGTATTTCCAAGCAGCATTTCAATATGTTGGAATATCGCTGAACCACAAATCTTCAGTCTCCCAAAGATCACCAGCATCAGCTTCATTTACAAACTTCTTAGAAAGGCAAATTCTAAAAAGAAAAGAAATGCAAACTCTATAGAGTCCCATTCTAGGTCTACAGAATCAGAGAATCTGGTCTTAAGACCCAGCAGCTGTAGTTTTTAACAAGCCCCAGAGCCTATCTGATCCATGCTCCAGCGTGAAAGCCAATGTCTTACGGTGGCATGACAGAGTGAGAGCTTAAAGGGCACTGGAGCCCCAGAGAAAACTTGGCTCCGTAGCAGGGTGGATGAGGTCTTACTGCTGAGACTCCAGCAGGCTGGAGGAGAGTACTTAGTCTACTGCAACACCCACGTGGGCTGCCTCTAGCATCGGATGGTCTGAGTTTGAGTCCAGCTCCACCAATTATTAGCTGTGAGCTTGGGCTCAAACTTCTTTACCTCCAAGATGACATACCTACTTAGTTTTGAGAATGAAATGAAATAATGTATGGAAACTATATCCAACAGATGGCAAATAAAGCATCACATTATTTTATCATTATTTTCTGCGTCTCTTATTACATGTCCAATTAATGTTTGCCTGCCTGCTGTTTCCCACGCACATGGGGAGGGGGCATGCTTCCTTGCTTTTGCTTGTATTACTACCTTTCCCAAGGCTCTTTCATTTTCCTTCCCCTGCCCTGGTAAACATTTGCTGGCTGCCTCCAGGCCATCTATTCCCGTCTCCACTCATCTTTAGTCATGGGGCTTGAATGAGACCGGCTTTATTCTAAGATTGAGGGGAGGCCCTGACGTACGGAAACCAGTTAGTATCTCACTAGTCACGGTGACTGGTTCAGGGACAAGTATAATTTACAGCCAATGAGAGAAACTAAACCCTTAGGTTGAGCTGGAATGAGAAAAAACCTCACTCCTGCCCCTTGGGGAGAAATGTGTACAGAGGATCAGGTATGGAACCACCGAGGAGAGGCCACGTGACCGCACAAGGACACCGTTAAGACAGGGCCATGGGCAACAATGCTGAGCCAGTGCCTCAAGCCTCACCTGGAGTCAATCCTACCAGCAAACTTTGCAGGCAATAAATTCCCATAAATATGGAAGTCTCTTTGAGTTGGGTCTCCGTCCCTAAATCAAGTGGGTAATCCCATTTGTTCTCAGAGACACGTCACAGGCTGAGGCTGGTGTCTTCCTAGAAGTCTCCTCTTCCCCCCTCAACCACCCTCCCTCTGTGATCCCATGGATCCCCATACAGCTAATGGCTGAAATGATCCGTTTCTATGTCTCCCTCACAGGCAGAAACCAGCTCTTACTCATATTTGTAAATCCAATGACTATAAAACGCCTGGCACGTCAGAGATACGCTAATAAACGCCTGTTGGGCTGAAGTAAGCCAGGCAAAATAATTTATTCATCTGTGGCTCGATTGGCTGAGATTTTATTCTATGTGTTTCACATACTGCCTTTGAAGTAAGTGAAAGATGCTTTATTTATTACAATCCTGGCTGCTGACGTTTAGAAAAATGTAGGGATCAATCCAAAACATTACTCAAAAATAAATAAATAAATAAATCCTTCAAATCACTGTTTTGGAAGCCACTTCAGAATACATACCAGAGGCTCCCCTTACAGATAATGGGAACAGAAAGAACAGTCCAGAGAAACCATGAAAGTTTTGTAGTTCTGATAAAACAGAGCCAACAGGAAGCCTTCATAAAAGTGATGGGATTTCAGGAGCTATTTAAGTGACCTCACCATGAACCATACTCAACGATACCTTCCCACATGCTCAGTATTATATTAGGAGCTGTAAGAAATATAGAACAACAGCAATAATAACTACT